AAATGACTTGGTTTGAGCTCTCCAGCCCTCCTGAGACTATGCAAGTGCTTGCTTCTCTTTTCCTTTCTTCTTTTCTAGTAAACCTGTCCTTTTAAAATGTAAAAAAAAAAAGGCACAGCAAACCTCTCCTATCTCACCCAGTGTTCTCCTCAGCAGTGTATTTCAGTAGAACCACCTGTTCTGCTCCCCATGTTGTCTCTGGTGAATTGTCTCACCCCCCACACCTCTGGCCTACACCCCAGCTCTTGTATGCATAAATATAAAAAAATGGCTTGCTTCAACTAAAGCAACAAAAGAAATAAAGACAGTGTTAGATTACAACTCAAGGGATAAAATAAATATGTATGAATCTGTATTTACATAAAGAAATTATTGCATAACTACATAATTGGGAATGAAAGGGATTCCATTTGATTCATTGGAAGGAATGTAGCAGGAATGTATGAGATGCAGAATTATCACAAGGCAAACATCACAGTACTAGTGAGTTATTTCAACTATGGTCCTGTGATGGATGCTAAGGTCAGTGGGTAAAAGCTTAAGGAGAAACAGGATATTTTTACATCATTTAAGTATCTCTCCCAAGAGAGATACTAAGTACAAAGGGAAAAAATTAGTCACTTTACAATAGAGAAACTCAGCACACATTTAGTCAGCCAAGTGATCAAGAATAACATCGCCAGTTATAAGCCATATTAACATTATGTACCCTCTGGTAAGATGCCCAAGGACACAATGCTTCTGTGGTATTCCTACTAAAAAGTGCACAAACTCAATCTTATGAGAGAAATCACAGAAGCCCAAGTTGAGGGACCGTGATCAAAATCACTGATATAGACTCATAAAAAGTGTTAGGGTCTTGAAAGGTAAGGAAAGACTGAAGAATAGTTACAGCTTGGAGAAGAACTGACAATTAAATACACTGTGAAGATCTGGATTGGATCTGAAAACAGAAAAAGGATAATTAGTGCAAAGATTCGTGAATTCTAATGAGGTCTGTAGTTTAGTACAGACTCACACGTACTTATCGGGTTAATGGTATTGTAACCGATACCACTTTCCTGGCTTGGATAAATGAATCATAGTTATATAAATTGCTAACATTAGGGGAAACAAGGTAAAGAGTACATTGAAGTACATTGAATTCTCTGTACTATTTTCACAACTTTTCTCTAAGCCAAAACTTATTTCAAAATGGTTTTACAAAAATGACTGCATTGGACAAATGAATTGAGCTCCACAAACAGCTCCCCAGGAAGGAAACTAACTTATGCATGTACAACTCAGATGTAGTCATCCAAGTCCCAATTCTGGCACCTCATTCCTGCCCCTGGCATTCTCTATAAGGCATTTCTACAGCAGAACATGCCATCCTTGGGCTTCTGACTGACTTTGGGGTCAGAGGGTTGGTTCAGGTGTCCCAGAGGGTATAGCCAGTGGGAGATCCTGCACAGAGGTGTAAGACTGTCTGAGGAAAGTCCCTGTATCTATATCATGCCAGCTGGGATTCAACATCTCTGGGTCTATGCGGGAGCCCGGACCATTCTCCCATTGACTGGTCAAGTCAGCATGGGTCCGGACCTATGACCTATTTTCTGGGTCCTCATACCTCTACCATGGCAAAAGGGACTTAGTCTCCAGCAAGTCTCAACCCATTAAAATAACTGCATTCTGGACCTTAGGGAAACTTCCACAATGCACTGTGCTCAGCCAGAGGTGACAAGGTCCTGCTTTTACCTCTCCTTACCACCCACCTATGATGCCCATTTGCTGGTACTAAGGGATCATGGCACATGATCTCACAGAGTCCTCTTAACAACACAGAGAAACTGGACACTCTCATGATACTTATTGTTAAAAATTGTCGTAAAATACACATAACATAAAAATCACTATCTTGTAACTTCCACGTGTATAGTTCAGTAGAGTTAAATATACTCACATTATTGTACAACCAGTCTCTTGAACTCTTCCCATCTTTCAAAATTAAACTCCGTACCCACTTCACTAACTTCCTTCTCCCCCACTTCCTGGCAACTATTATTCTACTATCCATTTCTATAAGGATGACTCCTCTTCGTATATCATATAAATGAAGCATACGGTTTTAACATTTTGTGACTATTTCACTTAGCATAATGTACTCTGTAGGGTAGAGTGTATCAGAATTCCTTCCTTTTCAAGGCTGAATAATATTTCGCCATATGTTTATACCACATTATCTTTATCCATTCATCTATTGATGGACCTTTGGCTTGCTTTCACCTTTTGGCTATTGTAAATAATGATGCTGTGAACATGTACAAATAATTGAGATCCTGCTTTCAATTCTTTTGGGATGTATACCCAGAATTGACATTGCTGGATCATATGGCAATTTTATTTTTGATTTTTTGATGAAACCCCATACTGTTTTTCACAGTGGATACACCCTCGTCACAGAGCACAATGATTCACTTTTCTACATCTTTGCAAATGCTTGATATTTTCTGCCTTTTAAAATATTGTATTATGCTTGTTCCACTTTATAGATAAGGAAACTAAGGCTTTGAGCAGTGAGACAACCCACTGAAGTCAGTCAGGTAGTTACGGGTGGGGTCAGAACTGACCCTCCAGCCTCCTGATTCCAGAATTCCTCCTTTGAGGAGAGCCATCCACCTTACTCATCCTGGTACTTCTCCCCTTTCCCCTCCCAATCTAATGCCTGTTTGCCATTTATTTTATTTTCATCACCCCAAAAAGGAAGCAAGGAAGGGAAAGGTTATCGAAAAAAGAAAGTCCTGGTATGTGGTGATGTATGTAGTCTGAACAAAGAGGACAAAACAGAACTTGGATGCCATTAATTACCTAACCTTCATGCCCAGAGGCAAACAAAGCCAGCAAGGAACAGAAAAGACACCAATTTATCTAGCTCTCAGGGAGAGCTGCAGCCAATGGACCAGCCCCAATCTCAGGTGCTGGTGACACTTTCAGGAATCAAAGTGGGAGTGAGTTAACCCTCCCCCTAGTCCTTGATTTTTGAGGTCCAGGCTGTGGGCAGGGGATAGGCAAAGACAAGGAGCTTTTGCCAGGTGATCAAACCTAGGGAAGCACAGCCACTTCAGCCCCAAGGTAGACATGGCACCAATGCTGGGGAATCCAGAGGTGATCTATATGCTGAGTCCACTTTTCACTGATCCTATGGATTCTATATCCATTACTCTCACCCAGCCACTACTTTTGCCAAGCTAATGACCACAGCTTCCTCATTGGTCTTCTTGCTTTTCATAGCATCCAGAGTGAGTTTTCTAAAAACACAAATCTGATCACATTAGCTGTTGCTTAAAACACTTACTATTTCCTCATTATCCTGAAAAAGTCAATACGTATAAGGCCTATTGTGTACTGAGCCTGTGGACATTTATAGCCTCACCCGTCATCCCCTGAGGTCCAGTAACTCTGATATATGGGAATTCCATCCCCAGACTCCGCCACATTCGTTGCCTGGGCAAATCCTGCTCATATTTCCCAATCAGCTCAAAATTTATCATTCCTTCTTGGAGTATTTACTAACGTTGTTATCCCTACAGAGAGGGTAATATATTTGCCCAGGTCACACAGCAAGCCAGCCAAGATTTGAATTCAGACTCCAGAACCTTATTGTGAACCAGGGTTGATGTTAACCTTCTCTGTAACAGGACCAGTGCACCCCTCCGGGCATCTAAGCTTTGAGGACAGACCCCACACCCCAGATGGCTACCTCTTAGTGCCCAAGACAAGGCCAGATATGTGTCTGATAATTGCTACACTGTGCTAAGGAAAGGAGATTAAAGACTAGCAGAGGCTATTGTCAAGTTTTTCTTGGGAAAAACATAGAGCAGAGGAGGGGCCAGGAGTTGATCCTACCTACTTGACCAAAACAGTAAAGTAGTCTGTGAGGATATTCTCCTGAGAAGACTATGTGCCCTAACCCAGTATCTCCTAGCCCTTAGCAGATGCAAAACAGGAAATGGAAGTGGTAAAGGATGTGCGTAGCATGACTCTGGAACCACTGAAAACCTGTCACCAAACCACTTAGGATGCTAAGGGGCTAATGACACAAGCTGGAGCCCTGGCCCACCCCAGGAACCTGTGCCCAGAAGGGTCTCAGTGAGTCTCTATGAGTATGTTGAGGTCAGGGCTATGCCACCTGTGGTTTGCTGCACCCAAGTTCTGTCCGGAAACCCTCTATTCCTTTCCTGAGAACTTGGAGCCTCAGGTCAGGAGGCCAAGCCTCACTATAAGGTGAATGGCAGAGCAATTCTCCCCCTGATGCTCCCAGAAGTTTATAACGGGGCCTCCCGGGTGGCGCAGTGGTTGAGCGCTGGGTTGCGAAGCTGCCTGCAGCCTCTGTAGCTCCGGTTCGATTCCCTGGCTGCTCCCCGGCCACCAGAGGAGGGTCCCACATGGTGCGCAGACCTCTCCTGCCGCCCGCTGCTCCCCTCAGCAGTGTACTTCGGTCCTTCTGCCTGCTCTGCTCCCCGCTCTGGCTCTGGTGAATTCTCTCACCCTCCCGCGCTTCTGACTGTACCCAGTGCTTGTATAAACAAGCAAACAAACAAACAAATAAGTTTATGACCAGGGAACAGGCCAGACTGACAGACACCCTGTCCAGCAGAGGTCTGTGTCTGCATTTGGGTTCAGCAACATCTCCCACAGCCCTCCTCCTGCCCATGGCAGACGCTTAACCCAATCTACACATCTGGGCAGCATTAGGCTCTTGGGAAAGAGCTCCATCTGTTGTGAAACTCGGAAAGAAAAAGACAGTTGGTGACCACAGACCTTTCTCCATCCCCTCCCTGCTGGACAGAAATGATCAGGAATGGGCCTCTCCTGAGTCCTGCTCTCTCGGCCCTCAGACCCCTGTAAGAAGAATAACCCAGCCGGGTTTAATCCGGACCAGGGATCACGGACCCAAGGACATTCAGCGCTTGGGCCTGAGGGGCGGCCTGACACAGATGGAGGGACGCGCACACACCCACCTCGGTCACGATGGTGGTCTGATAGACGTCCTGGCTGAACTCCCAGCCATCCAGGCACCTCTCCTGCTCCAGCTGCTGCAGGTCCACGTCGCGGCCGGGCTCCAGCCCCAGCGCCGAGAAGTTGGCGACGGCCGCGAGCCGGTAGCGGCGGCAGCTGTGGGGCACCTCGCGGCCGTCCTGCAGCCGCTGCAGCGGGGCGCTGTGGTTGCGCCAGGCGCCGCTCAGGTTCGCGGACTCGGGCACCCGGCAGCGGTGCTCGGGGACCCCCGCCAGGAACACGATGGACATGCCGTTGAAGCCGTTGGGGATGATGCTGGCGCTGAGCAGGAAGAAGATGAGGCGCTGAAAGGGCCCCCACTGGCCCAGGAAGGCGGTCACCTCGTCGTAGTCCCTCATGCCTGCGCGTCCTCTCCGCAGCTGGCCACCGGGCGCGGCAGGAGCGTCCCCCCGACTGCGCGGCGCGGACCCTGGCGCTCCCCGAGGGTGCCGCACCCTTCTCGTGGGCTCGGCGGGCCGAGCGAAATTGAGGTGCGCGTTCTGGGACTCTTCCCGGGAAACAGGTTGCTGGCCTTGGACGTTCCCTGGAGCTGAGCTGGAGGCTGCAAGGCGCGGTACAAACTCGGGACCACACCCCCATCCCGACGGGGGCGGGCAGGGAGCGCGGCCGGGCCGCTGGGGTGGGGCTCCCGGGTCGGCTCCGCCTCTTGCTCCTCCCTCCTGCCCCCAGTGACCCCGAGGTCGACCCCATGGCCCCTGGAGTTGAGGGGAGTCCCCCTGCGAGGTGAGGAAGCTCGGCTTCCGCGCCCTGGCGTCCCCCGCGCCCCTGGGCCACCACGTTGGGCCCCCCGGGGAGAGCGAGGAGCCGAGGCTGAAGAGCGAGGCCTTGGAGCTGCTGCCCCCCGCCCTGCCCTGAGGTCTCTTTCCGCTTCCCTTCCTATCCCGAGCGTGAGCTCAGGTGGCCCGAGGCGGGGTGCGGTGTCTGCGCCCGCGAAACCCCCGCGGGCGCAGGGCTGACAGGAGGGCGCGCGCCCGCTGCCTGACCCCGCGCTCTCCCCGCCAGTCCTAGGAGGCTGGAGAGAGTCGCCGGTCAGCGGCACCCCGAGAAGCGTCTTCGCGGCAGCTAGAAGTCTCACCTTGAAAAAGGGCAGACTGGCCCAGAGCCGCGGCAAGGATGAGCAAGGTCACGCTGCGTCAGGATTAGGCTCGGACCCGGGCGCGTGGGCTGGAGCTGCGGGCGGTCCCTGGGTCCGCTGGGCCCCCCAGAGAAGCCTTCCACACCGAGCCGGTGAGAGCGCGGTCGCGGAGGCGCTGCTGTCACCACTGATTTTGATCTTGTCGCTCTCCCCACGCCCCCAGGGCTCTTTATTGGGGCTGGCAGCCCGGACCTTCTTGGACTGGAAGGCCTCCAGTTTGCAGAAGGGACCGCCCTCAGTCCAGGAATAGAGGGAGGGAGGAAGAGTTGGAGGGGGCAGGAGAAAGTCAGTCTGGTGCCCAGATCTGGCAGCATACACACATCAGGGACTGCAGTCAGCTCCGGGGCCAGGTCTAGCGTCTCTCAGCTGCTGTGTGAGCTGGTCTGGAGCTGTGGTCTGAGTCCTGGGGTTCACGAGGAAGCTGAAGGAGACACACCTTAGGGCCCATCTCTTTGCAGATTTTGTACAAGTGTTTTTGCTTCTCTGGGTCCTGGTTAAAAGGCTGAGGGACTTTCCTGCCTCCTTTTTGTAGCAGTTTTGTTGTTTCATTCTGATGTATGTCTAGTAATCCAGTGGAATTGTTAATAACACATCCCTTTATTTTAAAAAATACTGTTCTTTGCACAGTATATCTGGTACCAATATCTTCACTTGGATTTCATGCTTCCCTTCTCCCACAATAAGAAAGCAAAAGCTGTGCAGGTAATTTATTTTGAATAGTAATCTCTAGGAAAGGAGTAAAGGACTGCGGAGCATGAACAGGGAAAGAGATAATACAGGACCATGTCATTAGCTTGGTCATTGGCAATGACCAGGGTCAGTGACAGTGCTGTGCTGAGACATTTTGGAATCTGAGGCCAAAGAAAAAAATTCGTGATACCATCCTGTCTCTACTTAAGATTTTGATGTTGTGTTCATCATGGATTTTATGTTGATTTTAATTGATACTTATAATCTAAAAATACTGTGTGGAAATATTGTTATCTTGATTATTGAATTTCTTGGCACTCCCTTAAATTTTGCACCTGGTGAGTCTATCCCAATTATGCACAGTGTGCACACAACCTGGATCTTTGGGCTCATCAGATCTGTTTGCATGAGAACTCCTGTTATCACTTGGCTTTTGTAAGCCCCCAATCTAACCCACCTTCGGTCATCAATGCCAGCTCATCCTCTATTCAACAGCTCTGGAAGATCCAGGTCTTTCCCAGGGCCAGAGTTACACTGATGAAAGGACCCTGCTATAGACTGGATTGTGTGCTCCTCTATCTCCCCACCCCCCACACAATGGATTTGTGGGGATATGTGGTTGGAAATGGGACCTTTGGGAAGCAGGTTTAGATGAGATCATCAGGGTGGGATCTTCAGTGGGGTTAGCACCCTTATAAAAAGAATCACCAGAGAACTCATAATAAGGTGGCCATCTGTAAGCCAGGAAGAAGACCCTTACCAGTGACTGAATCTATCAGCACCTGATTTTGGGCTTTCCACCATCCAGAATTGTGAGAAATAAATTTTCATTGTATAAGCTGCTCAGTCTATAATACTTTGTTATAGCAGCCTGAGCAACCTAAAATAGCACAGGTCCCTTGTGGGGAAAGATTGGGGAAATAATTATATGTACTTTTGGCAGTATGGGAGGTTTTTCCTTGAGGCAATTTGGACTCCTTTTCAATCAATAGGCTCCAAGCCTGTGAACTGGCCTGGATCTGGGAAGTGTTTGAGGAAATACTGTTATTCTTTTGTGGCAGCTGTCATCAACCTGCTCACTAGCTCTTGATTTGAGGGGTAAGGTGGTTATTGAAGTCAAGTTACACAGGCTCATCTGCCCATTCATTTGACTCCCAGGAACACCACGGTCAAATACCTATTACCTCTGCTGTCACCTGGGTTGAAGCACTGTGGTTGCCACTATGGCGTTAAAACTACCACTGCTCTGCCTCAGCTGATTAATGTCTCCACCTGACCTCTCCTATTCTAGAATCCTACCATCCCCACTGACAGACAGGATCCTCATCTGTGAATTTTGTATTGCCTTTGTGAAGGGAGTGGCCAGTGGCCTTGCCTTGAGAATGTAATCTGGTGATAGGTTCTCTGGTCTGGGGTGATAATTACAATCTAACATTCTCACCCTTCTGAACCTCCTGACTCCTCTGATACTCTGTGATGAAAGTTCTGCCAGCTCTGCCTCATTTCTCTAGGTCTAATTGTATCCAACTTTCAAAGATGGGTTTGTGTGTTCTTGCTTGGTTGTTAAGCCCAAAATGAGAAAGTGTTCCAGGTTAATAAATTCCCACATATGTTACTGCAGTTTCTACCAGAACACAGGTCCTGTTTTTTTTGTTTTTTTTTTTTCCCAACAGTTTTGCTATTTCCTGGTGGATCAGGGACTACAATTCCCCGCTTAGGCTGTGTTGAGACCTAACCTTGATTATTGACCTGGAGGCAGTGAGGGAAGGATAAGCATCATCTCTGGAGCCACTTGCCTCAGGAGGAGACTTGGTCTGGGTTCCAGGCAAGGAAAGGCTGCTCTCTTATAACAACGGGGAGAGACCTGCTGCTGGCCTGGAAGATTTAGAGGAATCTAGGAATTCAAAACTCTCACTTTAATCTATCTAAATGTCCCTCGTGTTCCAGCATTTGGAGACCCATCAAAACTGCATTTTCTGGTTGCTTTCCTAGCCTCACAATAAAATCACTTATATTCTGGGCTTGATTTCTGGCACCATCTGTTTTGTAGCGCAAGAGATGAAGTTCAATTTAAAAACTTCCATGAGGGTTTTAAGCCAGGACTCCTGGCTTTTAGGAGTGCCTCGAGTTCATAGTTGGCTGACCTGGACCAGTCACTTCCTTTTTCAAGGTCTCTACAACACTTAACAAAATCCAGCCAACTCCACAATTCTTATAATCACCATTGACTTCATATATTCCAATCTCCATAACCAGGGATTCTCAATCTTGGCAACACTGAGAATGATTCTTTGTTGCGGAGGACTGTCCTGTACACTTTAGGATGTTCAGCCACATTTCCAGCCTCATCCCTTAATTGTGATAGAAAGTGTCACTAGACATGATACATGTCTTCTGGGGGCAGGGTGGGGGGCTGGGGTAAAATCACCTTTAGTTAAAAAACACTGACACAGGGCCTCCCCTGGTGGCACAGGCGGTTGAGCACTGCGCTGTGAAGCTGTCCACAGCACTCTGCAGTGTTAGTTCGATCCCGGCAGGCCGGCGAGGGTCCCACATGGTCCCACATGGCCCCACATGGCGTGGCAGACCTCTCCTGTCGTGCCCGCTGTTCCCCTTAGCAGTGTCTTCAGTCCATCTGCCTGTTCTGCTCCCTGCTTTCTCTTCTTCTCACCCTCCCGGGCATCTGAACTGTACCCCGATTCTTGTATAAATAAATAAATAAATATTAAAAAAAAAACACTGACACAAGCCAATGTTACCTTTCCATTTGCATTTCATTATAATCTACCATGGATAAGAGTTTTGCTAAGTGTGGCTGCTGCATGCCGGGCATTATTGTCACCCTGTCGATTAAAGGGTACACACCATAGGCTTGTTTGCAGCTGTGGAACATTGGGGGAAGATCAAAAATGTCTGTCTAGGGCTCAGAAGTAGGCAACATTAATCCACTGGTTTCTACCCCACTTTGGTTGGGTATGCCCCATTGGGTGTTAACATCCCTCCACTTCCAGATAGCACATGGCCCAGTACTGAGCAGGTCTCTACAGGTGTTTTGTGTCTCAGCATCAGAGAAGCAGCTGAGGTTGTGGCATGTTGGAGAAGCTGGTTGCCATATCAGTGGCTGGAGTAAACCATACTCCAGGACCTGAAGCCGTGAACACAAGTGTTGTATATAGTCATCCCAGTCATGTATAATGGAATACATATCTGCTCCTAGATTCCTCAGCAAGAACATGAGGGAGGCAGGACCCTGGAAACTGCATACATGAGGTTCATCTCTGGCCTCTGGAGTTAACAATGTAGGCAAGTCCATGGGCCACTGCCTCAAGCCCAGATGTTTGCTCATGCGAGCACTAAACCAATGGTAGTGGAAACCAGAAGGACGAGGCTGGAAAGGTTGGCAGAGGCTAAGTCACCCTTGATCTTAAACATTTAATTTCATCGTTAAGTAGCTGTAGGTTAAATTTTGAGGCAATAGGAGAATATTCTGATGAGAATTGTGTTTTAGAAAGA